GGGGGGGGGGGGTAGTCAGGGAGAGCTTGGTTAATCCACTTGGCAGCTTAGAGAGTGGGGCAGTGGGCTAGCCCAGGGAAACAGGATAGTGGACCAGCCCAGGGAAAGGAAGTTGGTGGGCTAACCTAGGGAGGCAGGGTGGTAGGTTAGGCCAGGGAGACACGGTGGTGGGCTAGCCCAAGGAGATAGGGAGGTGGGGCAACCCAGGTAGGGGAAGGTAGTAGGCTAGCCCAGGGATAGTGTAGTAAGCTAGCCTGGGGCAGCGGGGGGGGTGAGCTACTCCAAGGAGGTCTAGTTGGTTGGCCAGCCCACAGAGACAGGGTGGTAAACCAGCCCAGGGAGAAAGGGCTGTGGGCTAGCTCAATGAGGGAAGGAATGCCCCTTGCAGATAGGCCTGCTCCCCTCTTGTGCCCATCTGACCCTCCACACCATACCCCCTCTCACCCAGAATCCCCCAGCCTCAGAGCCTTCAGATCTCAGCTTGGCCTGTCTGGCACCTTCCTGGCCAAGGGTAGAGAAGGCCCCCTGCAAATCTCTCTCCCTGGCAGTGGAATCCTAGGTATACCTTTCTATGCATCCCCTTGCCCTGTCCTGCTCACATGCGATCCTCAGTGCCCAGCCTGGCATACAGCAAGTGTTCAATAAACAGTGAAGGCTGACAAGCTGTATCTCAGCCCAAGGGTCATGCTTACCCCCCTTTAGAGATGGGCAAAGGGAAGCTGCAGGAAGTGACCCAATGGAGGAAGGTCCAAGTGAGGGGCCAGCTTGCCTGGCCCAGGGGACTGGACGACACCCTCCACCTCTGGACATTCCAGAACCATTTCCCGCCACCTTTTCACTGCTTTCCGGCCCTTCCCACACTGCAAAATCCCCAATGAATCAAGAACCAACTGGAGTGGGGACAGGAAAATGGACCTCAGACCACCCCCATCCCAATTTCATTTTCAGGTCAAGAGGGAGAGAAAAAGCAACACCAATGTCAGTACACCCAGTCAGCAGATGCAGTCACAGCACTGGTCACAGTGCCGTTCTGCCTGGACACAAACTTAGGCTCTGCCTGGGGGGTGGAATTAAGGAATCAGATCCTACTGGCTCTGCCAGAGGCAGGCAAGCAGGGCCTGGATGGATGTTTATTTAAGGAGGGGGCCTGGGAGAGCACAGAGAGGCATTGATGGTGGGCAGCGAGGGCTGTGGGGGCGATAAGAAAGGGTGGAGAGGTCATCGGGGAAACAGCAGGAGGGTGGTGTGCAGCCTCTCACTTTGTGACCCTCTGTCTGGAGTGAAGGGGAAGAAGCTTGTGAGATACAGGACATGGGTGTCCAGGGTGAAGGGGGTCTGACAGATTCTCAGCCCCAAAGACTCCCAATTACAGAGGAGGAGGTTCCAAGATGATGGCAGAGAAGAGAAGACCTTAGAGCTGGGTTTTGAGAAATGCATAAAAGTTTGTTGCCTCCTGCCCTCTAGGAGTCCCTATCTTGGTGAAGGAGGCAGGGCTGGACAGACCCTCATAGCCCTGTTTGGCAAGGGGCTAGACTGATACATCTTGGGTCCCCAGCCTCACTCACATGCAGCGGCAGCTCACAGTACCTCCTAAGTGCCTCTAGGACACCAAGTGGCTGGTCTTAGGTAAAATGGATGGGCTCCAGGCCTGGAAGCTCTGAGCCCCATGGCAAGGGGGTGGAAGGGGGGCTCAGGCAAGTATGGACAGGCTGATAAAGAGAGCAGGGGGGATCTCTCTGACCACACAGGGGATAGCAGCCCTGGCTGGGGCTGGGCTGAACGATAACTCGATAACATGAGAGGGGCCCCTACCCCAGGGTTGGGTCTGAATTCTTCCATCCCGGCAAAGGAGAGGTTAACTCAGAGGCTGCAGCCCCCTTCCCTTCCATCTCCTTCCCTTCTGGGCCTGTCTAGGCCTATGTTTACAGAAGCTACTGGTGAGGGAGGGGCAGGCAGAGGCCCAGAACAAAGCAACAGGGGCCAGGCCCCTACAATGGCCTGAGTGGACCTGCAGCCCCACTGGCCCCACCCCTTCCTGTCTCTGTGGCTCAAAGGCCATGTGCCCTCTCTGGGCCTCAGTTTCCTTCTCTGAACAGCAGAATCATAATAATCCTTCAAAGGGGCTGTCCAGGGGACAGAGAAATGAGCCTCACTGTGTAGCAGGGATTCCTAGAACAAACCTGGTGTCTCCTTCCATATGGCAGCTCCAAGCTAAGAAGTGAGGCCCCTGGGCAGGAGACCTCTGGGGACCCCTTGGCTGCCCCTTGTCCCATTTGAGCCTGGATCACCCCACTTCCATTGTCTGGGTCTCAGTTTCCCCACCCAGACACTCACTCAGACCAGTTCTCACTCCTCACGTCACTGTTCCCAAGGCCCAGGCACTTCCTGGTGGGGCTGTGTCTGGTGGGGCATCTATCTCACCCCAGACCAGGAGGAAATGAAGGGATGGGCTGCAGTGGCACAGTATACTGTTGGTGCTCAATAAACGCAGTTCAGCACTATGTTTGGGCATTGCCAACAGCTGGGACTGTTTGTGGCCCATCTTACAGATAGGGGAACTAAGGCTCCTATAGGAGCACGGGAGGGGCTGTGGCACTAGTGGGCACTCTAAGCCACAAAAGCTTGAAGCCTGCGTGGGAAGCTTCCATCCTGTTGCCCCAGTGCCCACTTGCCCAACTGTGAATCCAACCCCACTCTTTAAACAGAGGCCAGCCCCACCCTACTGAGGAGGATCCGGGAAGCTAGGACCCCGTCGTATCTTGTATCCCAGCAGCAGGGGAGAAAGCTTGGACTGTCAGTTCTGGGTGGTGCTCTGAGACAACACCTCCTTCCCTCAGCAAGGACTTTCCCCTTAGACTCTCATAGCTGTGCCTCCCCTATCAGACTTGCAGGGCTGAGCTGTGCCTCCTCCCTCAGACACCCATGGCAGGATGGTGCCTCTTCCCTCAGACCCCACGTGGCACAGCCATGTCTCCCCCTCAGACACCTCTTGGATGCCTCCAGCCACAGGAAACTCAGTGCCACTCTGACACACCTGCTCCAGGCTGCAGCGGACAGGGTTCCCCCTTCCTTGTAACCATTTCCCACTACTTCCCAGCAAGCAGGCCTCACCTCGCTTCTGCATGAAGCTAAACAAGTCATCCAGGAACTCCTTCCTCTTGGGGTCCCCGTCCAGTTCGTAGAGCTGTGAGGGCAGGGAGGGGACTGGTTAATTGATGCCAGAGCTTGGGCACAGGAACCATGTCTCCATTGGAAGGAGGGCCAACCGAGGAGCTGCCAGCAGGGACAGGCACTGGGGGGTCCCAGCCCCAGCACCGCCCCCGAGTCCAAGCATCTCCCAAGGCCCCACCAAGCAGACAATTAGCCCCACTCTCAGAGAGGACAGAGACATCTGGACGAGTCTCCCAGGATGGCTTCAAGCTAGACATTTATCCTCCTACAGTTCTGGGGCCAGAAGCCTGAGATCAAGGTGTGGCAGGGCCAAGCTCCCTCCTGAGGCTCCAGGGAGGGTTCCTCCTGCCTCTTCCAGGAGAGAGCTCCAGGAGTCCTTGGACTTGTGGCCATATACTCCAGTCTCTGCCTCTGCTGTCATGTGGCTCTCCTCTGTGTCCAAATTCCCCTCTTCTTACAGGACACCTAACAATGGATTTAGGGCCACCTCATCTAATCTCAATGCTTAACTAATGACATTTGCAAATACCCAATTTCCAAATAAGGTCCTGTTCACGAGGACTAGGAGTTGGGTCATAAACACATCACTTTTTAAAAAATACATTTGAGAGAGAGAGGAAGAAAGAGACACATAGAAAGATACACAGAGAGAGAGAGAGAGAGAGAGAGAGAGAGAGAGAAACACTGATTTGTTGTTCCACTGATTTATGCATTCATTGGTTGCTTCTTATACGTACCCTGATGGGAGATCAAACCCGCAACCTTGGTGTATTGGGATGACGCTCCAACCAACTGACCTACCCAGCCAGGGCTTAAACACATCATTTGGGGGGACACAATTCATCCCAGACAAATAGTACCCACCCAGGTCATTGCCATCATGATGCATCCCAACCCTGTCCAGTGAGTCATATGCACACTGTGAGGCATAGAGAGGAAGGTGGGAGACTGCAGCCCTGGACTGTTGAGGACTCTCAGCCCAGACTTGGTCCTGGGCACTGGCTGCCTGGGTTCGCCAGTCACTGGAGGGGAAAGAGCCTCCATCTGGGGCTTGGGAGGCAGGGGGTCCTCAAGCCCCATGATCATTACCTTCCAGGTACCAGGGGAGAAAGCAGAGATAGAGGGCGAGGTGGGTGGGGG